CCCCAAAACCCCAAAACCCCAAAACCCCAAAACCCCAAAACCCCTCAATATCATATTGTTGTTGAATATCTTTTGTGTATTTATATTAAATCTTTTTATTTTAAATTAATTATGAATTTTAGCAGCGAAACAGAATCTGACACTGAAAGTAGAATTGAGTCTACTTATCCTCCAATAATTTTCCCAATGAAGTAAGTAAACTTAGGAAATTAGTCAACTTTTACTCCAGATTTCTTTGGGAACTTCCAAGTGGGAAACCAAAGCTTAATGTGTTATAGAGTACTAGTAACATGCTCTATATGGGATAGAGACTCCCATGGCCTCTTTGATTTTGAGTGAGACATGGTAAGTGACTTGGGTTATCGACTGTAGCTAAAAACTTCTGATATTGAAATAGAGCAAGATAGCTTTATATACAGGACAGATTATGGGTTCAAAGTTACCCCTATTCATGAGTAAGTCGGGGTTGGGTAAATGCTAAACTTTTTGTAGAGTCAGAAACCTTAATTGATATGATCCGCAGATGTTAGGGCTTGAACCTTATGCAGACATACGCTATAGAGGAGGTAGTGTTAGATGTTTGAACTATAGATTACTACTACATCAGAAATTTACAAGGAGTAAAGTAAGAAATCTCTTTGAATTAAGCCTAATCTTTATAGAATGAACGAATTAAAGCAAAGCCAATATGGATCTCTTGCTTGCATCTGGACAGCCGCTAATAGAAGAGAGAGATCCGATTTCTGGAGAGTTTTCAGAGATGAGCAATCGTCTGAAAAATAAGGTCATCCATGTGCTGAATGTTGGTGATATTGTTAAACTAGGGAGAGTACAAATGAGAGTTTCTGACATAGTAACTGAAGATATGATTGCAAATTCAAGACTTAATAGCGATAATAAAGAATCCATTTTATCGAAGCATGAAGTAGAAAGACTTCTCCCTAAATTTGAAGAATCTGATCACAAAGAGGTTAAAGTCCTACAGACTTGAATAACAAATACCCAAAAATTAAGAGACTTAAATGAAGAGGCTAGATGTAGAATATGCTGGTTGGATACAGTATCCGAAGTGAATCCTCTAATTTCAGGATGAGATTGTCTTGGAGCTCTAAATCTGATACACTATGAATGCTTAAGAGCTTGGATACTTGAAAAGGTTCAATCTACAAGAAAAAGTAATTATTGACTATCCTATTCTTGGAAAAAGTTTATATGAGAAGTTTGAAATAGCCTCTATCCAATGGCATATAAATATAAAAATCAAATCTATGACTTGGTAATGGTGCCAATACAAAAGTATCCGTACATCAATTTAGAAAGTCTCATTAGCCCAAAGAATACCTCGCGATTCGTATTCCAGATAAAAATTCCAGATTTCAGGGAATCAACAGAAGATAATCCTAACTTAAAGAGAAAATTTATTATTGGAAGAGGACATGAATCAGATCTCAGAGTGACTGATATTTCTGTGTCCAGAACACATACAGATATTATCTACGAGAAAGGCAGATTTATTATAGAAGATAAACTCAGCAAGTTTGGGACACTTCTAAAAGGTAAACCCATAATCTCACAACTCTAGTTTAAAAAGAATCCTACTTTAGCTCTAAACCCAATTGATGGAATAAAGGATGATGTTGTGGTACGTCTAAAGGCAGGCCAAACCAAGTGAGTACAGTCTGGTAGGACTATAATCAGGTTTAAAACTCAACAGCACACTGAAAGCATGATGCAGGAAATAGCGGAACACTATCAGACAAAGAAAGTTCCTCTCTCTTCAGATGATTCTCTTAAGCTATTACGTTCACAAACTGTAACTTATACAACTTAACCAAAAGTTTTACCCTTAACTGGTCATCCTTAGCTTAAATCTTATTGAGCAATTAATCTATTTTCCATAGTTATCTAAAAAGGTGGGGTTTTGGGGTTTTGGGGTTTTGGGGTTTTGGGGTTTTGGGG